AACTGACGCATGCACAGGTGACGACTCCCCCGCTTTAAACCTATTGCATTACACACTCATTCGCATCACCCATAGACGTGGTTTACAGTTAAATCATAAATATTGAAACAACATTTAGAAATTCAATATTGCAGTTGAAAGACGTCCGACGACCAGCAACTGTGACTTTGACGTCACTCGTGTGGATGAGTAAGATTTCGAAATAACCTTACCATCATCCTAATCAATGATACTCTATACTGTAGACCAAATCGGATTATGATTTATCATCAACTAAATGCATTTGCAGGACACACAACAGTATTCGTTAGATGACAACTGATACGCACGTGAAATGAGTGTTATTGTATGTAACAAAACGTCCAGAGCACATGTGTGTTAGTGGATTTTAGAGTTTTCAGACCATGACAAATCCAATGTATTTGTCTATAAAGTATCAAACAACAATGCCAATAATTATTTTTTTTTGTTCATAACGCATCTTTAACAACATCCATTGGTAATCGAAAATGAGTTAAATCATTATCTATCCAAATTTATTATTTATCTAGTTTCCCAAGTATTCATGAAGCGAGTATTATTATTTTCATTATTTGTCATAACTTTTTATCTACTGAGGGAGACAGTACACATATATTCTTTGCCATCAGTCCCAGGAAACTGTGACGCGCATTATACAAAGGTTTGCTGAAAACCTGCTCAAGATTTTTGGCCATTTTGCTCACACAGACATACGGACATACCAAACTCATTAGTCCCCTTGTGTGATGCACATACGGGAACTGAAAGTGCGCGTCAAAATTACAGAGGGCGCACTCTAGTCAGCGTCTGCGCCAATGGTGATTTTCTGGTCTGCTTCCAGCTAAAGTGCCAGAGGAAATGGAATTGACGGTGAAGTGCTTGAAATTTTACTAAATAATTCCTTTTCTGTTAATATAATCTGCATTTTCTATTAGTACACGCTCTGATCAATATTCGCCGATGGATATATACAGAAATGTTATGTTTTGAGCACGGGTCTTAAGGTAGAAGCCTAGTCATAATTTCTGACAAAATTGGTCATAAATCGCATGACAATGTTCATTAGTTTGTTATGTACAATCATGAAGCTAATGTCTCATGGTACAATGAAATAGCATTATTTTGTGTGTTACAGTTAAGCTTTTTGAGAAGCGTGTCCTAATATTTCTTAAAAATTGCTATTTTTGGAACAATTCCATAGAACACAATGTTAAAAAAAAATTGCAATTTTTGACACTTTTTTAAAACCCAGATTTCTTAAATAATTCAGAACAAAATGTACTCCATCATTAACAATATATGATTTTTTCAGCCTATGTCACCAGGCTAGATTTTGAGAAATTGCATAATATCTCTGCCATAGGAACCTGTGGTGAAAGTGTTATAATAGTGTCAAAATGGCGACTTTCCACTAAAATACAACCATCAATTTCTCGAAAAAAAGGCTGGTGACCCCCAACTTTTTTAAGGTCAATATCTTATATTGCCGTGGAGTACAATTTATTGCAAAATGAATAAATTCTGGTTTTTTTAATTTATGAGTAGGCTTCTACCTTAAGGTAGGTCAGTGTTAATAATAATATATGCGTGCGAGTGGCACGAGCAAGTACAAGGTTTTCCATTTTTGAAATGCATGTTCGGCAATTAAGTGTAACAGTTTTTTTTAAATATCTTGCGTGCCTAAAGTGCCCAATGTGCAAGTCTTTTCAACTAGGTTTCGAAATGGAATTACATGTAAAGCTGCAGAGCTTTTCGGGTCCAAGTTTGAAGACTGACTACCCACTGATATATACCCGCTATGTTAATTTTCTCAGGATGCTTTGGTCATACATGCTACACGCAAATTAGCATGCAGTCATTTTTGCCAGAAATCCAAGATGGCTACCAAACCACGTGACTGATCAAAATTATTGTATTTTTCTCGTAAGAAGCTTTACTGATACATGTTATTATAGAAGTTGAGTTGATCTGTTAAAGTACTCAACAAATCCTCCGAAAAAGTTGAAAATGTCTACTTCCAGTTTAACTTCAAACCAATTGATCAGTCAAAATTCTGAAAGTCAGGTAAACCAAGTGACATTAGGGTCTATCATTTTAGAAAATTTCAGACCATTCCGTTCAGTAGTTTTCCCAAGAAAGAGATAGAAACACTTGAACAACTGTGCAACTTTCTCGAAAATTCATTTCAAGAATGTAACAGTTGGTAAAGTTTTAAAAATGTTTAACATGTACATCAAGTTTCATCAAGGCATGAATTTGTTCTATATAAAATATTTATAAATATAATAGTGATTGAAAACAACGTGACTAATCACATTGCTGATGAATACTGCTCGTACTTCACTACGGTCAGTTAACACTTTTAATATTCTCCTTAACACATGTAATTTTCTGTTCCAAGTGATAATGGTACTATTTACATTCTTTTAAATTTATATCATACAAATCTATAATTTCAAGTGTTTTAAACAAAATATTATGGGATGTGTTCATTACCTTCATGGCAGTGAATCCATCATGATTAAAGAAACCCTGCAAAGACTTATGGGTAATGGGCAAAACCAAATGTTTTCTACAGCCAATGAAAGCATCTAAGACTTTGTATATAAATGCCTGGTAACAATGCTAAACCTGATTAGTTTTGGATTTAAATTTGAGTGTACTAATTAGCTAATTTGCATAATGTGCATAATCATCACATTTCAGTGAAATTTGGTTCATAGATACTCTGGGGTAATCCACAGACGTGATTAGTTTAATGTTGAAAAAACTTGCATAATGATAATCTAATTATTATTAGCCAATTTTTGATATCTCTTAAAAATCGGATTTAGATTGAGCTTGTGGTAGCGGTGCTCTGGAATAAACTTATTTACAAATTTATTTTCTGGAAGTATTATAAAGTTCAATATTGGTGATCACATTGTTTTCATGCTGTGAATCTCAAAAAGTAGGCAAATATCAATCACCATGCTTCTTCTTATTTCGTATTAAGTCCTGTGACATTCTTGTCGTTTCCACATATTTTTAATTTCACGTTCAATTTCCAGGTATTTTGGGCAACCAAGAAACAATACCAGTGAGAAATATGTGGCCAGTTTTTTACCAAGACAAGCAATCTGAAAACTCACATGGGGTTGCATTCTGGTGAGCAGCCCTATATCAGTGAAAAATGTGACAGTTGCTTTACCAAGAAATGCAGTTTGGAAACATGTGCAATGGTGCATATAATGATATAAGACAAGTGTGGAGAGTGGATATACTGATAAACAGCCATATCTGTGTGATGTATGTAACCAACATTTTACCAAGACACCGTACATACTGTTAGAAGCCATATTGGTGTGATGTATTGTAATCAAGGTTTACCAAGACAGCTGTGGAAAGTGCATAGTCTGTTAGCAGCCATATCGGTGAAAAATATGTGACAGACGTTTCACCAGACATGCAGCCTGAAAACACATGTGATAGTGCATATACCGGTATACTGATAAACAGCCATATATAGATGTGATGTTTGTGACCAATGTTTTACCAAGTGCATACTGTTGAGTGTTAGCAGCCATATCAGTGTGAATAACCAACATTTTACCAAGACAATCATGGAGAGTGCATATACATTTGGCAGCCATATCAGTATGACGAATATGGTCAGCAATTTACCCAGAAAATTAACTTAAAAATGCATACCGGTGAACACATTTTTGAAGGACACATGGGAGTATACTGGCAGCTGCCATTTCAAGTCTGCGAAAGACATTTTACCCAGACTGTGAGCAGCTAAACCAGTGTAATAGTGACAATTAAACCCTAAAATCATGAAAGATTATTTTTATCGGAATAAAAAGGTTTTCATCTTGGAAGCATGGAGTCTAACACAGAAATGTACTGGTAATTCTGAGCAAGTTACAATGGGAACATCCCTGACCCATAGTGTCAGAATGTAACTGCTCAACAGAGCATATTGTAGATGATTTAGCCACTATTTTGAGACCACTTGTGTCATCACAGCAAACTCATGTTTGGGACACTATTGATGTACTTAGTTAGGAAACGGCAGTTATTTCATTTCGCACTGGATCTGCCTGGGTATTTGTTTTCTGTGGATGTAAAATCAAGTACACATCGACTTGTACATAGCCATCCCACACGGATGGTCAATTTGTATAACACATGTTTTGGTTCATTTGGTGTTTTATATCAGACAGTAGATGTTATTTTACATGTCATTTCAGTTATATTTTTGCCACTCCAAGGAAGTAATTAAA